TTTTACAACCCCATCTATAATATTTTAAACAACCATGGTGACATTACACATCCCTGTCTAAGACCTACTTTTACCGGGAAAGTAGCCCTCCCTCTCTTCTACACACCCTAACCTGAGCCTCACTATCCTCATAAAAACTCTTACAGCATTTAATACTTCCCCACCTATTCCATTACTTGCAACATCTGCCACATTGCCCCCTACCACTGTATCATATGCCTTTTCTAAATCCATAAATGCAATAAAAACTTCCCTACCTTTATATACTGTTCACATATATGCTTCAATGTAAACACTTGATCTACACATCCCCTACCCACTCTGAAACCTCCTTGCTCATCCGCAATCCTACATTCTGTCTTACCTCTAATTCTTTCAATTATTACCCTACCGTACACTTTTCTTGGTATACTCAGTAAACTTATTCCTTTATAACTTTTACAATCTCTTTTGCCCCCTGCCAATCCCTAGGTACCTTCCCCTCTTTCATACATTTATTAAACAAAAATACCAACCACTCCAACACTATATCCCCCCCAGCTTTTGACATTTCTGTCATGATCCCATCAGTTCCAGCTGCTTTGCCCCCTTTCATTCTACGTAATGCCTCACGTACCTCCCCCACACTTACATTCTGCTCTTCTTCACTCCTAAAAGATGGTATACCTCCCTGGCCAGTGCATGAAATTACCGCCTCCCTTTCTTCCTCAACATTTAAAAGTTCCTCAAAATATTCTCGCCATCTACCTAATACCTCCCTCTCCCTATCTACAAATCTCCCTAACTTGTTCTTAACTGACAATCCCATACTTTCCCGGCTTTCTTAACTTTTTAACTCGCTCCAAAAATTTCTTATTTTCATTAAAATTTCTTGACTTTTCCCTCTCCACTTATCTTTGCTCTCCTTTTGCACACTCTCCCCACACCCTCTTCACTTTCTTTTACCTCTCCATATACTCTACTCTCTCTCTCTCTCTCATCACTCTCTCTCTCTCTCTCTCTCATATTATATATAAATATATATTTATATATATTATATATTATATAATATATATAATATATATAATAATATTATATATATATATATATACATATTAATATTATATATAATATATAATTTATATATATTAATATAATATATATTATATATATATATATATTATAATATATTATATAAATATAATATATATTATTATATATATAATTATTATATATATATATAATTTATATTATATATAATATATATTTAATATTATATATAATTATATAATATAATATATATTATATATATATATATATATATAAAATATATATTATATATTAAATATATATATATATATAATATATATATATATATATTATATATATATATTATATATAAATATATTTATAATATAATATATATATATTATTATATATATATATAATATTATATATATATATATATATATAAATATTATTATATATTAATATATATTATATATAATATATATTATATATAATATATATATATATATTATATATAATATTTAATTATATATATATATTATATATAATATATATAATATAAATTATTATATATTATAATATTATATATAATATATATTATATATTATATATAATATATATTATATATTATATATAATATATATTATATATAATATAATATATATTATATAGATATATATTATATATATTATATAATATATATATATATATATATAAATATATTTAAATATATATATATATAATATATATATATATATATATAATATTAATATATATATATAACATTATATATATTATATATCATATATATTATACATTATATATATATATATAATATATATATTATATATAAATATATATATATATAATATATAATTAGAATGTTTTAACGGAGTCGTCCAATTAATGAACAATTAAAAATATAACTTATATCTCTATAAATTGCAATTAAAATTGTCTACCATGTAATTAAATTTGGACGCCAAAACGGGCATAAAAATGCGTTGATTTTTGCCCCCGACAAATGAGGGTATTAAGATGATTTTTTCCAAACATTCCAATTCAAACATTAATTTAATGTCAAGTTTTGATGTCCGATTCCGTGGCAAACTCTTCCCACCTTCTTCCACTGTTATAACCATCACCATCGTAACAATCTGTAACAATATTACAGCAACAATACAGTACTCGTGTTCCCACCATGTAACTATAGAATAGCAGCATACTGCTGGTGTTCCCATCATGTAACTACAACATCAACACAGTACTAGTGTTCCCATGTAACAACACAATAGTGTTGGTGTTCCCACCATGAAATCATCCATGTTCTGTATGTGACATGGCCCGCCATACTGCAGGTCAAGCAGTATTAACAATCTTATACACATTGCCATGCCTCTTTTAAGACTTACTCTAATCCTTGCAAGTCTTGGCGATGGTCACTTGTGCTACTGGGTCTAGAAATCGACTTTGTAATACGCCAGAGTAGGTAGGAGGTTAGTAGAGAACAACTCGCGAGAGGATTCTCACACAACTTTTCGGACCTTTCTTGGACCACTGTCAAATCACAACTAGAGCATGAAAAGTAATGAAGGCTAAAGGACCAGCCATGATATTATGAATGTTTTATTCTTCCTAGACAGCAACCATCCTGGGAGATACTACGGCCCTGTCAAATGAGTGTAAATGATAAATTGTTAGAAATATCACCCTGGCGTAACGCTTAACGTACTGTAGCTTACTGCTTGTGTGAATGTGTGCACTATTCATGTACGTATAGGGTAAATACCAGTAGTGCCACCTGAGACGATACCTTGTATCCAGGGGTCGTCTTGGAGATTCAGTTCCTCACGAGCCTAAGGCTGGCTTTGCTGTAAACTGTATGTAAAAACTCCACACAGAATTTGCTAGGCTGGAATGCGCACTTGACAACCTGGTGGAACAGGCACACATCGTCCGACAACTCTATTCGAAAACGTTTCGCCAACCAATGATTTTTTTTTCAATTCCATAGGAAGACAGCAGAAGATGAGGTATGTAATCCCTCAGTTTTACAGAATATACAAAAGACAGTTTAAGGTAAACTAGCTCGTTTGTCAGTCTTGTATAACTATACACAGAAGATAGTGGAAATGAGGTAATAAGTCCATTAGCCTTGCAGAACTATGCACGGGAGACAGTGAAAGATGAGGTATTCAGTCCTTCAGCATCTTCATCCTGATTACTCTTTCACGATGGTCATCCTGAGAATGACTAAATTCAGATCGGATAATTCAGATCTGATACTATTCCAACATTGGGGATCATACGAGTTTATCAAACAGGTTTATCGATTTATTAACACAACTTCACACGGATGGATGTTCAGTAAAGTTAAGGGTAAAACCGCATGATAAAGTCACGCAATAACAAAACTTCAGTAATATAGAATAGGGCAGCATGACACTGGCGGTGTACTCATCATGTAACTAATTTATAATTGGACAGCCGCACACTGGATGTAAGTCTGCCAGATAGACCTCCCAGAGCCTGCCATGGGAAGGGGGGTGTACACCCTGTGCTTGCCAGGGTGTTGTACACCCTGTGCTTGCCAGGGTGTTGTACACCCTGTGCTTGCCAGGGTGTTGTACACCCTGTGCTTGCCAGGGTGTTGTACATTTTGTGCCTGCCAGGGTGTTGTACACCCTGTGCCTGCCAGGGTGTTGTACACACTGTGCCTGCCAGGGTGTTGTACACACTGTGCCTGCCAGGGTGTTGTACACCCTATGCTTGCCAGGGTGTTGTACACCCTGTGCTTGCCAGGGTGTTTTACACCCCGTGCCTGCCAGGGTGTTGTACAACCCTGTGCCTGCCAGGGTGTTGTTAAAACCCTATGCTTGCCAGGGTGTTGTACACCCTGTGCTTGCCAGGGTGTTGTAAAACCTGTGCTTGCCAGGGTGTTGTACCCCTGTGCTTGCCCGGGTGTTGTACACCCTGTGCTTGCCAGGGTTTTTGTACACCCTTGCTTGCCAGGGTGTTGTAACCCTGTGCTTGCCAGGGTGTTGTACACCCGTGCTTGCCAGGGTGTTGTAAACACTGTGCCTGCCAGGGTGTTGTACACCCTATGCTTGCCAGGGTGTTGTACACCCTGTGCTTGCCAGGGTGTTGTACACCCTATGCTTGCCAGGGTGTTGTATACACTGTGCCTGCCAGGGTGTTTTTACACCCATGCTGCCGGGTGTTGTACACCCTGTGCTTGCCAGGGTGTTGTACACCCTGTGCTTGCCAGGGTGTTGTCACCCTGTGCTTGCCAGGGTGTTGTACAAACCCTGTGCCTGCCAGGGTGTTGTACACCCTGTGCTTGCCAGGGTGTTGTACACCCTGTGCTTGCCAGGGTGTTGTACACCCTGTGCTTGCCAGGGTGTTGTACACCCTGTGCTTGCCAGGGTGTTGTATACACTGTGCCTGCCAGGGTGTTGTACACCCTATGCTTGCCAGGGTGTTGTACACCCTGTGCTTGCCAGGGTGTTGTACACCCTGTGCTTGCCAGGGTGTTGTATACACTGTGCCTGCCAGGGTGTTGTACACCCTATGCTTGCCAGGGTGTTGTACACCCTGTGCTTGCCAGGGTGTTGTACACCCTGTGCTTGCCAGGGTGTTGTACACCCTGTGCTTGCCAGGGTGTTGTATACACTGTGCTTGCCAGGGTGTTGTACACCCTGTGCTTGCCAGGGTGTTGTACACCCTGTGCCTGCCAGGGTGTTGTACATTTTGTGCCTGCCAGGGTGTTGTACATTTTGTGCCTGCCAGGGTGTTGTACACCCTGTGCCTGCCAGGGTGTTGTACATTTTGTGCCTGCCAGGGTGTTGTACACCCTGTGCTTGCCAGGGTGTTGTACACCCTGTGCTTGCCAGGGTGTTGTACACCCTGTGCTTGCCAGGGTGTTGTACACCCTGTGCCTGCCAGGGTGTTGTACACCCTGTGCCTGCCAGGGTGTTGTACACCCTGTGCCTGCCAGGGGGATGGAGTCATTGGTACCTACCTCTGACCCTGAGAGTCTTGCCTCCCAGTACATAGGTGTCAGTGTTGAGGGGTAGCGGGGTGCGCGAACCATCAGGAAACACTTGTATCCCCGTCGTCTCCACACCCCGCCGCTCCAATACATCTCTGTCAACAAACAAAACACAAATTACTAAGACAATTATGTAAACATCATGAATAACAAAAAAATAACAACCAATTACACTGGCCAACAATGGTTTCTGTTCACGCTTAAAAACGACGTGAAACCACTGGGACGCTGAATTAAAATCTGGAAACAGTTTTGCTCCAGCATGTATAGTTCCTGTGAAACAATTCCACAGCGACTGATTTTACCAAGAGGAGAGATATCAAGGTAACCTAAGGATCATTTTGGTGGTCGACTACTGCTGGACACTGGTACCAGAGAACCATGTGAAAAAGCTTGAGAACCGTGATGTAAATGTTTATATATATTAATATATATATATATATTATATAATTAATATATATATATATATATATATATAATATAATATATATATATATATATATCACAGAGTGATCTTAATGCAGAATAAGTCATATGGGGATGGTAATCTTTAGCTCTAGATCTTTCGCACTCTCATGCATCATCAGGAGCTATACAACACTGCAATACTAGTAACAGAAATGAGAAATATAACGACATATACTTAAATCACAACCTATGGTGACAAGTTTATGAAATTTTATATATAACCAAAAATGGCTGCAGAAACCGTGTTTAAATCTGGACTCAAAATTCGTCCGCTTTTTCCTCAAGAGTTGCCATTCCTTTATATCCGCACGCCGCCACGCGCACATTCTGTCAAGGAAAACGGTGATATTACTTCGTAAATTATTCAAAAGGTTAGGTAAATAATGTTATTTTTCTTTACGTAAAATTCAACAAGATTTGATTGGGCTGCTATGCAAGTTTCAGTGGATAAAGCTAATTCATTTGCTTGTCTAAAAATTTGCCTAACAGCATTTCGCTTTTTTCTTGGTCGGGAAGGCAATAGTTTGAACAGATAATTCAGTTCATTTTTTATATAAATGATGGTCACTTTTTACCATCTTCTGATAAAATCAGTTTAGCATGTATCAGAATATGTAACTACAACACCCCCACAAATTGTAGCTACAGCACCCCACACCTTGTAACAGCACCCCACACCCTGTAGCTACAGCAAGCCACACCTTGTAACAGCACCCCACACCTTGTAGCTACAGCACCCCACACCTAGTAACAGCAACCCACACCTTGTAGCTACAGCACGCCACACCTTGTAGCTACACCTTGTAGCCACACCTTGTAGCTACAGCACCCCACACCTTGTAGCTACAGCACGCCACGCCTTGTAGCTACAGCACGCCACGCCTTGTAGCTACAGCACGCCACGCCTTGTAGCTACAGCACCCGACACCTTGTAGCTACAACAACCCACACCTTGTAATCACAGCACCCCATACCTTGTAATCACAGCACCCCATACCTTGTAATCAAACACCCTACACCTTGTAATCATAGCACCCCACACCTTGTAGCTACAGCACCCCACACATTGTAACCACAACACCCCACACATTGTAACCACAACACCCCACACCTTGTAACAGCACCCCCACACCTTTTAACCACAACTTTTAACGAGAGGGCGGATATCATTTATTCAGGCTTCATTGACCAGTCATGTCACTACAGTATTCATTAATGATCCGGCTAGTCATCAAGCAGTCAACACAATATTTTGAGACACAGACAGACATTATCTCTGGTCAGGTCGCAGGTCTGCTCGACGAATGTCGTTGAGGTCAGGTCAAAAATCATTACCTAGATCTAGAATATTTTAATCAGGGTGTAGCACTTAACCTGTATTTGGTCATAGAGTGCCTGAGAAAATGGGAGGCACTCAGGACTGATCCGAGGAATGTGATACGTCCAGTTCCTCGAGCCTGAGGCACTGACCCCTTCCTACAAAAACTGACGGACCGATCACATCAAAATTACTACTACTACCACTGTCTCCAGTGGTATATTCTCGCGTATACGACTGAAGAAGCCTCTTGTACAGGAGTGACGCTCCAGCAATAAAGTTACATATAAGGGTTCACTGATAACTATAATTTAATCGAACTAAGCGCTAAACCTGAAGGAGATAATCCCTGGTAGAGTAGCGCGTGACGTCGGTGTATTTAGGATGTCTCCATGACAACCAGTGGATTGGTCATCCAAGAGCGAGACCAGAGGACTATCTCTAATAGGCTGTGACGCTGGAAACTGCAATAATGCCCAATGTGAGGCAGTACGAGCAGGACTGTTAATTTCACGTTAAGCGCTAAACCCATGTGGGTCATTCAGCACAAGACTGGTGGATGCTTGATCCTCCGTCTGCTGAACACGCGACATAAGCTTCCTATTTGTGCTCACCTATGCCAGTGTAAGCAGGAACTTTGCTCTTAGTGACTCAGACATCCTCAGAAGCTTACGTAATTATATATTCTGTATAATACTTTAGATTCGCACCTATGAACTCAGACAAACGAGACACGAGTGTATACATGTAACTGACAATACTGTGGGGTTAAAAATACTCAGAAGCTTAATATCTGGGATACTCGACCGACTCTCTCCTTGGACTCGCCTAGGCTGATTATCAGAGTCAAGGACTCACTGCCGTGAATACAGTTTCTTGGTAATTTGGCACAAGAGAATCCTGGCCAGTTATTACCGCAAAGTAAATCCCATTTTCGCTCAACTCGTCAAGTACGAAGATAACCATGCTAGAGGGGTAAAAATATTAAGGTCATCACAGGAGCCTAGCACTGCGTGGTTCCCATTTACCGTCTAGAAGTACCTCAAGAACTGTCCAAAGAGAACAAAACCATCTAGGTCACATTCTAGGAAGCCAGCCTACATCAAAACACGAAATGGGGTTGGAAACCATTCACTTCATCTGCCCCGAAGACCATGGCGTAAACAGGGTTGCCATATATATTCCTGGAGAGTGTTTCGGGGTTCAACGTCCCCCAGGCCCTGTCTATAACCAGATCTCACGGTGGATAAGGGCCTGATAAACGAGGTTGTTACTGGCGGCCGCACGTGAACCGACGTACGAACCACAGGCCGGCTGGTCAGGTACTGAATTTAGGTGCCTGTCCAGCTCTCTCTTGACAACAGCTGAGAGTCTATTAATAATCCCCTTTATGTATGCTGGGAGGCAGTTGAAAAGTCATGAGCCCCTGACACTTATGTTCTCTCTCAGGGTACTCATAGCACCCCTCGTGTATGATAAATCTGAAATATACAGCACAGGCTCAGCTTCATCACAGCAGGGATTCAGGAAAAGCTCACCGGATTCAGTCTTTTCACAGGGTTATTGTGTCAAGTCCCAGTGCAAAGCCATATCCCCAGATGAACAAGGTCTTCTACCAGGAGCAGCAGGGAAGGGCAGGCCGAGTTGTAGATGTGGCAGTCATACTCCAGGCACGAGGTGGCCTGGAGCATGATCCGTCCATACGCTTCCCAGACATGACCAAGATATCTAACATCCACCAAGGAGAACAGGGAAAGAAAAGGGGAGGAGGGGAAACAGGGAGGAGGGCACATACATTGGAAGGAAATAAAAGGACGAAATAAAGAATGGGAGGAAACAGTAAGGTAACTGGTTGAATGGAGGGAAAACTTTCAGTAGTACAATTCACAAATTACTAGTCATAGGGTTAATCAAAGGTTTTTCGCAGAATAAATACACTACTACTCATTTCAGAAACTGTTACCAACACAAGTATGCAGCAAAAGGACCACTGTCTTAGTATCATCAAGAACTGAGACTACCAGAACCAAGGCATCGACACTTTACAGATAACTTAAACACAATATAAAGAAAAAAATCAGACGCAGTCCCAATCATATACAGAAATCAATACAAGCCAGAGGATACACGTCATAAACAAGAGTCGGCAGCGGCCAGTATCCGGAGGGAAGATGTAAACAAATTACAATAATTATATATATAGTATATGTGTGCCGAATACGTAAAACTTGATATTTTGGCTGAAATAGCAACGCACTTCTTGCTAAACAGGGCAAGCAAAAATTTGTGTATGCAATAATTTCGCAAAAATCATTCTGAACCTAACGAAAAACAAATATATTTCACTGTTTGTTTATTGTTAAATTATTGTAAACTTGTATAAAATATGTTTAGTTGGATTAGGCTAAATTAAATTGCGCTTGCTATATTAAGGTTAGGTAAGTTTCTTAAGGTTCTTTTGGCACAAAATCATTGATTTTTATATTAACATAAATAAAAAAAAACTTCTTTAAATGTGTAAGAGAAAACTTAAGAAAGGACTTCCTTTAAATGACTTCTTGCTAACTTACCAGTTTTACTTATTCGGCACGACATATATACATACATACACATACACACACACACATATATATATATATCTTTCAAAATAACCACTGTGAACAAACAGTGAATTTCCAAGCAATTTCGTGATTTCTCACATTATCAATGAACTGCAAAAATAATAGGACATCAGAAAGTTTATAAGGCTGAGATTATACTTCAAATATGACCTGATACCCGACCCAGCACGCTGAACGTGGGAGTGTAGCAAAGATTTGGACAGGGTCACATGTGAAGTACAATTTGTGAGTGACATGTCAGGCATAGCTAAAATTCCTCACAAATTCTATCATAAATAAATCTAATTTACATAGCCTTGAACTAATATTCATATTAAAATTAATATATTTTTTTTATTAAACTTGATTCGATTATATATCTCTCAACTATGGACTTGCAGTGCCCTAGAGAGACTTCACAGATAGTTAAACTAAGATTCAGTCACTCTTGAATCTTGTTACCTGCAGGTATCATTTTATTCACATTTTGCCAGCGTTAGCCCTATGATGTTGCCAAAGCTAATCCACACGGCTGAACTGCCATTTTAGCTAATTGTTGAACAAATTCCTCCTCTCGAACCGTGTTAGTGCTTACTCGAGTTTCCACAGGTACTGGCAGCCTCGAACTCCAGAAGACCCAACCAGCAGTTTACTAAATTTCTGATTTATGTGCTGACCAAGTTTGCCTTGGCTGTTCCTTTGAATATAC